TAGAGACAGGTCTCACAATGTTGCCCAGGATGGTCTCAAATTCCTGGCCTCAAGCAATCCTCCCAGCTCAGCTTCCCAAAGTACTGGGATTACAGGCTCCACATGGTTTCCTCACAGCCTTTTTACTTAAGGCAGGTAGTATTTAGATTCCCAGAAGAGGAAACTGAAGCTGAGACGAGGCTATGCTGTAGAGAAATTTGAATGCTAGGGAAATTGATTTTACTTAATCCAAAAAGATATGCAGTACTAATTAAATATGATTAGAGACATAGTAGGGTCAGGCTGGGCATGGTGACTCATGCCTGTAATCCCTACACTTTGTGAGGCCAGGAGCCCATGACTAGCCTGGGCAACATGGTGAGGCCCTCATCTCTACAAAAAATTAAAACTTAGCCAGTTGTAGCAGCACTACCTGTAGTCCTAGCTACTTGGGAGGCCAAAGTGGGAGGATCCCTAAAGCCCAGGAGTTTGAGGCTGCAGTGAGCTGTGGCCATGCCACTGCACTCCAGCATGTCTCTTAAAAAAAAAAAAAAAAAAAAAGATAAGAAAAATTGGTCATGTGAATACGATACAAGAACACCATGTGGCAATGAAGGCAAAACTGGAGTTACACAGCTGCAGGCCAAGGAAGTCAAAGACGGTGGAAGCCAGCAACCACCAAGATTCTCCTAACAGGCTTCAGAGGAAGCACCATGGCCCCAATTTTAGACTCCCAGCCTGCAGAACTGAGACAACACATCTGTTACCATAAACGACCCAGCTTGTGGTCATTGCCATAGCAGTTCTAAGGAACTAATACAGAGAAAAATAAACATTTCAACTGTGACTTTTTTTTAGATGGAGTCTCGCTCTGTCACCTAGGTTGGAGTGCACTGGCACGATCTCAGCTCACTGCAACCTCCAACTCCTGGATTTAAGTGATTTTCCTGCCTCGGCCTCCCCAATAGCTGGGATTACAGGCACCTGCCACCACACCTGGCTAATTTTGTTATTTCTAGGGGTTTCTCCATGTTGGTCAGGCTGGTCCTGAACTCCCAACCTAAGGTGATCCACCCACCTTGGCCTCCCAAAGTGCTGGGATTTCAGGCATGAGCCACTGTGCTCAGTTTTTTGTTTTGTTTTGTTGTTGGCTCCTGTCATCAGGTTAGAGTGCAGTGGCCCAGTCTCGGCTCACTACAATCTCTACCTCCTCTTCTGCCTCAGCCTCCCAAGTAGCTGGGACTACAGACATGTGCCACCATGCCCAATTATTTATTTATTTTTTTTAGTAGAGATGGGGTTTCACCATATTGGTCAGGCTGGTCTTGAACTCCTGACCTCATGACCCACCTGCCTCAGCCTCCCAAAGTGCTGGGGATCATAGGCGTGAGCCACTGTGCCTAGCCGGTATGGTCAGATTTTATTAAAGTATCAACCTTTTCTGCTGCCTATGCAAATACTCATAAGCTATAGGCATTCTTAGCACAACTTCTGTGGTTTTGTGAGAGTGGGAGAGGCTGTGAAATGAACAGTGATTAAAGTCACCACTGTTATAATGGTTAAAAAAAAATCTGAGATGTGAAGGTAATTTGAGAAATAACACCTAAATTTATAGAATATCTCTTTTATCTATTTCGTACACTTCATTAAATTCTCACCAAAATGTGTGAAGTAAACTTCTTAACATTTTTACCATTAAAAACTGAGGCCCAGAGATCACTGACTTGTCCAAGATGCTACAGGTGGCAAAAAGCTAGAAATTGAACCAGATTTCCCAGCCCATACTTGGTTCACTCTAGTGCACAGGACTGCCAGCATGAAGGCAAGAGAAGGCTGCCAGAGAAGTCTGGCCTGCTTGGGCACCTGGGAATGGTGCAAGTGGGAGGGACAGGATACAAGGAAACTGAGGGAATTGCTAGCCCCCAAGTTTGAATATGAGGCACTTTCAACGCATAAATGCTTGATTTGAATCATATGAACTCAGGGGAGAGAGCAGGGCTATTCTTTTCATTAATTCATGCTGATAATGGCATCATCTCCAAGCTATCTCTATAGTGGTACATGAATAGAACAAAAAACAGAACAGTATACTGTATTTTCTTGAACATGCCTAGAATCTCTCTGAAAAGACAGAGGATGGTAGCTGGGTGGGAAGGATTTTCACCTTTCGTAATTTTGAATCATGTCAATGTCTTTATTTTTATTTTTTTTAAAGCCAACACTGAGCATAAAAAATAAGATTTTCAGATTAGAAATTTTCAAAAGTTCAGATAAAATTTAAAGAAAACCTATGTCATTCCATGACCCAAAGATTACCACTGTCACATGTGCACACAAACATCTTGGTGCATTGCTTGGCTTTAAAACTGGGGTCAGGACATGGTGGCTCACACCTGTAATCCCATCACTTTGGGAGGTCAAGGTAGGAGGGTCGCTTGAGCACAAGACCAGCCTGGGCAACACAGAGATCCCATCTTTACCAAAAACTGAAATATTAGCTAGGCATGGTGGCACGAAATCTGTAGTCCCAGGTACTCCAGAGGCAGAAGCAGGAGGATCACCTGAGCACAGGAATTCAAGGCTGCATTGAGCTACAATTGTGCCATTGCACTCCAGCCTGGGCAAGAGCAAAGTCGTCTCAACAAAAAGAAAAAAACCCAACTTTTATACTCTTGACACTGTGTAAGCATCTTCTATAATGGGTATATTTGAAGGATTTGGGGTTAATACTGTAGTAGGCATGCACTATTTGTATTCTAGAATATTGCCTTTGCTTTCTACTTTTAACATTAACTGTCTCAATTTACACTGTCTTTACTAGCTAATATTCAGTTTTGTTTTGGTTGTCATTTATCCTTTTTGAGACCAAGTCTTGTTCTGTCACCAGGCTGTAGTAGTGGCACGATCTTGGCTCACCCCAATGTCCACCTCCTCCAGGTTCAAGCGATTCTCCTGCCTCAGCCTCCTGAGCGGCTGAGACTACACACGCCCACCACTATGCCCAGCTAATTTTTGCATTTTTAGTAGAGACAGGGCTTCACCATGTTGGCCAGGATGGTCTCGATTTCTAGACCTCGTAATCTGCCCACCTTGGCTTCCCAGGTGCTGGAATTACAGACGTGAGCACCACCAGCCAGCTCATTTATCCTGTTTTCAACACTATCTTCATCACCTGTTTATGTTCAAAGAGTGGCTCACAGATAAGGTAACATTTTTGCCCTGTCTTAAGTTTGTGGAATAGATAACAAGAAGAGTTAATTAACTACATATGTAGGCAAAAGGTTATGACAAAACATGGCATTATCAGGGCTTGAAAGGACTTTATTGTGGTTGTGGTGAAGCAGGCCCTAGTCTTGGCAGATGACACCAGAAGGGCACTGAGTGCCGGTGTGCAACTTGAATTTGATCCTGTAAGCAGGTAGGCATCAGGAAGCCATTCAGGATTTTTCACCTGGTCAAATGCTCAGATTTGCAGTTGGTACTCAGAATTGGGACACAGGCATTGTCCAAAAAAAAAAAAAAAAAAAAAAAAAAAGCAGAGGAGTGGTGGGGGAAGCCCAAACCAGAGCAATGGCAATGATATGGGATTATGCAGGAAACAGGCAACATGACATGAAACTACTTCACGGATACAGATGAAGCAGGAATCAGGGACCCAGTAAGTCTCAGGTGCTTCCAAGTAAGAGCATGTAGGTGGAAGGGCAGGACTATGGGTTCCATTCTAAGTAACTTGAGATTGAAGCAACAGTGGAACCTCCAGCTACAGATACCCACTGACAAAATGAAATATGATCTGGGCTCAGCAATGAGGTGGCAGCTTAAGAGAGATCTATAATCCATCTACATGGTTTAGAGCCACCTGACTGCCAGGCCTCAGTGTGTGGATGGGCAAGTCCTGAGGACTGGACTCTGGAAAACAACCACACTTAAGGGACAGAGGAATAAGAGCAGTCATGGAGGTAGGTCAAGAAATAGGGATCAACAAGGACCCCTGCAGAGTTCAGGATACTGGAAAGCAACGGCCATGAGGGCCTGATCTCCAGCACACACATGAATTTGCTTCTCCCCAAAGAACAGAAGCTCCTTCAGGGTGGTACCTGGCTCAGGGTAGCTTGTCAATAACTTTTTTTTTTTTTTTTAAATAGAGACAAGGTCTCACCATGTATCTCAGGATGGACTTAAAATCCTAGGGTCAAGCAATCATCCCATTCAGCCTCCAAAAATGTTGGGATTACAGGCGTGAGCCACTGCGCCTGGCCAATAACTACTTGTTGAGTGAATGAAGAGGTAGGAGCTGGGTTCTGAGTGGCCACTGGACTTGCTGATTAGAAGGCAGTGATGACATAAACCACAGCCACTTTCAGGACAGCAGCCTGCTTTCTCTCCTCCCACTCCTATCCTGTCCAACACCTAAGCACAGTAGTACCATTAGGGGTCTGTCTCCTCAAAAGCAAGAATGTTCAGGTATACACACGAGTCTACCTTTGAACTATAGGGGAGAAGGCCTGGTTTTATGTTTAAGTCTCATTCACCCATTTTAACCAAAACCCTTCATAAGGAGATGCTGTCATTATGATGGGTACCTCTTTCCAGACTATGCAACAGCAACAGAGTCTATAAAAGCTAAACAGAGGGCAGGTGCAGTGGCTCACACCTGTAATCCCAGCACTCTGGGAGGCCGAGGCAGGTGCATCACCTGAGGTCAGGAGTTCGAGACCAGCCTGACCAACATGGTGAAATTCCGTCTCTACTAAAAATACAAAAATTAGCTGGGCATGGTGTTCACGCCTGTAGTCCCAGCTACTTGGGAGGCTGAGACACAAGAATCGCTTGAACCTAGTAGGCAGAGATTGCAGTGAGCTGAGATCACACTACTGCACTCCAGCCTGGGCAACAGTGAGACTTGGCCTCAAGAAAAGAGGGGAGGGAGGGAAAGCTACACAGAAGACAAGCAAGAAAGTACTTTTAGATTACAACTCGTCTTATGTGAATTATGGCAAATGAAATCACCCCATTGTTTATGTCTTATGAGCTTTCACATTTGCTTAAAATTAGCATACCTGATCTCTTACAGTTCCCATCTCCACCAATTAGTGTTGGCAGATTTCCACTATATGTAGAAGTCAAAAGATCACACTGTAAAAATATCAGATATTGTGATTAAGAGCTCCAAACAGACCTTGCAGTTTCGGAGGTAGAAACCCACCCAGCCAGGTCAGTTGCTTGGACTTCAAAGCCCTCCGCCTGGCCATCTCAGCCAGCCTCAGGTTCTTTCTCCCACCGATCAGGCCAAGCAGGACTTGTCAACACACATTCAAGTTCCTAGCACACAGTAAGTGGTCACTAATATAAACTCGAATTTTTCTGACATATTACAAATGCAATATCCACCTCTCCTGTCCAGCTTTCCTCAGATCTTCAGGTTCTTTCTTCACAGAGGCAGTTAAGCTTCTACATCCTTCATAAAGTTTCTTTTACTTCTGGACAGAAGATATTTCCCTTTAGGCCTATCATCACTAAACACAACTTACTCAAAACTCTACAAAGTACATTTGCTACATGGTATTTATTCAATGACTATATTTTGTCACCACCTCAATCACTGCTAAGCTCTCTTCATGTCTCTCTGCACCACAGTTCCCCATCTTAGACTGTGATGTTAACTGGCAAAGGCTGGCTGTTGGCCAATTCGCCATGACCAACATGGTGTCCTTCACAAAGAGCTCCAAGCAAATGCTGTGAAGAGGGTAAGTGAGGATGGAGATGAGGGTCCTGAGAAGGGCCCAGACTGGCTGCCCAACCCATGGACCTGAGACCTGAATAAGGCCTGGGAGCTGCTCTCCCCTCTGCCCAAAGGTCTGTCTTGGGGCAATTCTAAGGCACAGTGGTGAAGGACATGATTGGTCCCCCAAGCGTGGTCCTCAGGTCTCATGGCAGCCACTCACCTGGGAACAGTGCAACAAGCATTCCATTTAGAAGATCTTCCAGAACACACACAAGAAGCATTGTCTAATGAAAATGGAGACAAGGTCTTTCTTGGAAGAGAGTGCCGCAGAAGATACTCTCTGCCCCAAGACTAACCAGGTCCCTTTTAAGGTCCCTGAGAACAGCAGCCTGGGAGCAACCAAGACTTTCAAAGGCTGACAAGGCACAGAGTGGATTAATGGAATGAACAATACATGGAAAAAAAACTTTGGCTTATAAAACCTCCAACCTGAGGCAGGGACAGTGTCTGCTGACATGTAGAAACATGATTGTAGCAGAGATGATGATACTGCTGATATCCCAAGCCCTGCGCTACCACCCTCTCCCCCAACCACACACACACACACACACACACACACACACACACACACACACACACCATTTGCAGAGTAAGTCAGAGGCTGACACCCAGACACACCTAGACACACATACACAGCATCTACAGAATAAGTCAGGTTGACACCCAGACACACACACACATAGCATCTACAAAATAAGTCAGAGGTTGACAACCAGACACACCTAGACACACACACACACACACACACACCCATCTGCAGAGTTAAGTCAGAGGTTGACACCCAGAGCCTGACGTCAGGATAGGACTCTTGGCACTGCACTGAAACACTGTGATTAGTCCTGACTAGACAGCAAAAGTAACATCATCCTAAGCTTGAAATGAAGGGTCTGTCTTATGAAGTTAGGCTGCACCCAAGACAGCCAGGTCTGGAAAGTCTTTCACTTCTCCTACTTCGCTGAAAGGCTGTCCACCTTGGTTGAATGTTAGCTTGTACCGTAAACGGATAGGTTCCTAGGACAGAAGAGACAGAAGATGTTAAATCAGTGGAGAGCAACCCAGAACAGGGAAAAATGTTAATTCATTTTAAGTGAGTGCTTCAAACAATTCTATGACACAGAATATTTGGGATACTCTCTGGGGCTAGCAACAAGGGGAAACAGGCACATATCCTGGGAACTCTTCAATACTTCTGCAGTCCTTAAATCCTGAGATGGGCTGCAATTAAGACTAGCTAAGGAAGACAGGCCTTGCCCTTTCAGAGGACTTCCGAGGATTAGCGATTCCCTCCCTGGGTCCCCCGCTATGACAATCCATCAGATATTCCTTCAATGAGCCCCAAAGACAGACTCTAGTGAGGGCTATTCCACATACACCCACTACCACCCAACCAAACCAGAGACTTTATTTTTTTGAGATGGAGTCTCGCTCTGTGGCCAGGTTGGAGTGCAGTGGTGCGATCTGAGCTCACTGCAACCTCTGCCTTCCAGGTTCAAGCGATTCTCCTGCCTCAGCCTCCCAAGTAGCTAGGACTAGAGGCACGCACCACCATGCCCGGCTAATTTTTGTATTTTTAGTAGAGACGGGGTTTCACCATGTTGGCCAGGCTGGTCTCAAACTCCTGACCTCAAGTGATCCACCTGCCTCAGCCTCCCAAAGTGCTGGGATTACAGGGGTGAGCCACCATGCCTGGCAAACCAAAAACTTTAGAGCAAGGCCTCAGTGTACCTCTCTCTATCCAAAGTTACTTCTCCTTACAGTTCAGGGGCCCCTATCTCCCTGCTACTACAGACACTGGAACATACTTTGTGTGGATTGTCCAGCAGCAGCATCTGAGATATCACAGCTGGAGGCATCAAAGGACTGAATGCAGGAAGCTTAGAGCTGGAGGCCGGCTGCAGCTTCACTCTCATTGACTATTGGGGGAAGAAAACCAACATGTGACTCATTCCTAGCCACAGCTTCCAGGATGGAGATCAGGTGAGCGGGAACTGGACCTCCCCACCACCCTCCAAGAGGAAATGGCCCTCTCAGATATGGTACCCCGAGGCATCTGTGGGAGCCCAAGCAGACAGGCTTCCACTAACTGATAAAACGATCAAGACGCCTTTCATTCCACACACACAGTGGATCTGGAGTTGTGTGGTCAACGGCTGGTATCTGAGAGGCAGCAACAACAGCCAGGGCGCATCTTGGGTTGAATCCTAACTCTGCTTCTTATTAGTTCTGTGACCTTGAGCAAAATATTTAATTTCTGAGCCTTGGGTTGATAACTTATAAAACAGGTATTAAGCAGTAGTACATTCCCCACAGGACTACCATGAGACTGCGTGTCTATTTTTGTCTGTCCTGAATCTTTTCCTTTCAGGATAGGCCCCTTCCTCTGTGATTGTGGTGTGGCTGGTAATCAGTAGGGCCCTACTTCCCTTGAAAAGGGGTGGATATGCTATCTCACACTGGCCAAGTGCCTCATATCCCTGGACACAAGTTACCGGTCCAAGGTATGGAAATAACACTAACAAGTCCAATCAGAATCCTTTCCTGAGTAATCAATATACAGGCTTCACACCAGCTGAGAGTTTATGAGATAAAGAGGGTTAAGGACCATGCAACCCTGGAGCTGAGAAACTGCCAGAATGGTGCCAAAGAAAAGCAGAGACAGGAGAGAGAGACTCTTAAGGCATCACTTAAGAACCTATCTGGATCCACGCATATCTGAAGTCAGATATTCAGGAATCCCCAGTTAGGTAAGCCATTACATTCTCACTTTATCTTCAGTTAGTTTGAGTGAAGACTCTTTTCTTTACACCTGATAGATAATGTCCCAGCAAAGAACCTGGCACTCAGAAACGACAGCCATTACTGAGAAATCCGTAAAATTTGACTCACCTTTGGCACAGCCACTTGAAACATGATATCCCAGACAGGCTGGGGAGCCGTGCTCATCATGGTCAAGAGCAGCACTTGCACCTCTGGGTGGCCAGGGGCTCCCGTCTCGGAGAAGTGGAGCAGAATTCTGAATCCGTTCCGGTCATACACAATGAGAGGCGGCAGGCTGCCTGGTGGAGAGGGCCCGAGCCGAAGGTTAACACCACTACAAACGCCCCAGACAGCCAGGGTGGAAAGAGATGTACATGTTATCTCCAGATGCTGCTGCTGCTTCTCCATTCAGAACACGTGCAGGACTGAATTCTTTGCACTACCATAATTCAAGTCCTCCTGACTCTAGCTGGACTCCTATGACCCTCCAAACTGACCTCTCCCCACCATCCAACCATCATTCACACACTACCAGTTATTAAAAATCACAATTTTGAGGAAGATATGATCATGATTAAAATCATGCATGAAACCTACAGAAAACAGAATTATCAGTCAGGCATGGGGGCTCATTCCTGTAATCCCAGCACTTTGGGAGGCCGAGGTGGGTGGATCACTTGATGCTAAGAGTTCGAGTTTGAGACCAGCCTGGACAACATGGCAAAACCCCATCTCTACTAAAAATACAAAAATTAGACAGGCACAGTGATGTACACCTATAATCTCAGCCACTCGGGAGGCTGAGGCATGAGAATCACTTGAACCCGGGAGGCAGAGGTTGCAGTGAGCCAAGACTGCACCACTGCACTCCAGCCTGGGTAAAAGAGCAAGACTCTGTCTCAAACAAAACAAAACAAAACAACCAAGATTATCATAAAGAATGTAATAAATGCACTCTTAATTCTACCCAGGGCCGGGCGCGGTGGCTCAAGCCTGTAATCCCAGCACTTTGGGAGGCCGAGGCGGGTGGATCACGAGGTTAAGAGATCGAGACCATCCTGGTCAATATGGTGAAACCCCGTCTCTACTAAAAATACAAAAAAGTAGCAGGGCACGGTGGCACATGCCTGTAATCCGAGCTACTCAGGAGGCTAAGGCAGGAGAATTGCCTGAACCCAGGAGGCGGAGGATGTGGTGAGCCGAGGATCGCGCCATTGCACTCCAGCCTGGGTAACAAGAGCGAAACTCCGTCTCAAAAAAAAAAAAAAAAAAAAAAAAAAAAAAATTCTACCCAGAATAAGCAATTATTTTCTTCTGGTCTCCTTTGTATGACTATAAACACACACACATGCACACACACACATATCCCCTTATATTTAATTGTATAAAACTGTAGATACCAAATCACCTCAAATTAAAAGGTTTAGTAGAATTCCAACGGAAATTCTAAAGAAACTGTTTTAACTAAGGAGTGATTCTAATGTTTGAGGGGGAAAACTACATAAAAATAAGGAGCAGGGCTATAGCAAATACTCAGATAAAATTACAATTCGAGTAAAGTGGCATACAACAGAGTATGCAGAACAGATCTAAATGAGACTGTAACATAACATATCCTTCAAAATTCAGTGGCTGGATCAATGAATGGCACTCAGATGACTGGTTAATCAGCTAGGAAAAAACTTACTATCAAAACATACATTACTAAAATACAACTTAGAGCGGGGCATGGTGTCTCATGACTGTCATCCCAGCTTCTCAGGAGGTTGAGATGGAAAATTGCTTGAGGTCAGGAGTTCAAGACCAGCCTGGGCAACACAGAGAGATCTGCCTTCCACCCCACAAAAAAACAAAACAAAAAAAGTTGCTGGGTGTGGTGGTGCATGCCTATCATCCTAGCTACCTGGGAGGCTGAGGCAGGAGGATTGCTTGAGCCCAAGAGGAATCTGAGGCTGCAGTGAGCCATGACTATGCCACACCACACTCCAGCCTGGGCAATGGAGCGAGGCCCCATCTCTAAAAGAGAAAAAAATTAAAAAATTAAATCAAAACATACTTTAACAATGAAACTACTAAGGATTTAAAAGACTGAAAATACCAGTGGGGTATGGTGGCAAGAGTATAGGGGGAAAAGCAACCTTTTCAGAAGGGAAATTGATAATGCAGATCAAAATTTTACATGTCTATATGCGGCATTTTACTGGTATTAGCATCTCCTAATAATTAGGATGGCATAAAAGGAAGGTATAAAGAAAGGCATCCAAAGATGTTCTTTGTAGCCTGTTTTTCTGTTTTTTTTTTTTTTCTTTGTTCCTTTTTTTTTTTTTTTGAGATGGAGTTTCGCTCTTGTTACTCAGGCTGGAGTGCAATGGCGCGATCTCAGCTCACTGCAACCTCCGCCTCCTGGGCTCAGGCAATTCTCCTGCCTCAGCCTCCTTGAGTAGCTGGGATTATAGGCACGCGCCACCACACCCAGCTAGTTTTTCGTATTTTTAGTAGAGATGGGGTTTCACCATGTTGACCAGGATGGTCTTGATCTCTCGACCTCGTGATCCACCTGCCTCGGCCTCCCAAAGTGCTGGGATTACAGGCTTGAGCCACCGCGCCCGGCCTGTTCCTTTTTTTTTTTTGAGACAAAGTCTTGCTGTGTCACCCAGGCTGGAGTGCAGTGGTCCAATCTCAGGTCACTATAACCTCTGCCTCCCAGGTTCAAGCAATTTTCCTGCCTCAGCCTCCCAAGTAGCTGGAATTATAGGTGCCCGCCACCATGCATGGCTAATTATTTTTTTGTATTTTTAGTACAGACAGGGTTTCACTATGTTTGCCAGGCTGGTCTTGAACTCCTGACCTTGTGATTCGCCCACCTCGGTCTCCCAAAGTGCTGGGATTACAGGTATGAACCACCATGCCCAGCCTGTAGCCCTATTTTTAACAGCAAACAAGTAGAAACAAATTGACCTTAGCTTATTCAAACAAATTGAGTAAGCTGGGCGTAGTGGTGCACACCTGTAGTCTTGGCTACTTGGGAGGCAAAGGTGGGAGGATGGCTTGAGCCTGGAGGATGAAGACTGCAGTGACCTGAGATGGTGCCACTGCACTCCAGTTTGGGTGACAGAACGAGACCTTGTCTCAAAAAAAATAAAAACAGAATAATACAAAAAGGACTGAATAAACAGATTACCGCACATCTGTTTAATGGTGTGTGTGTATATATATACATAAGTTCATTAAAAATCAAGTTTTTAAAGAACTAAGGTCATAAAAATGGTACAGGCTTATAATCCAACAGTAAATAGAATATAAAAGTCTATACATACTGTGGTATCAAATTATTAAGAACTGTATGTACATATGTATACACATGATAAAACAAGAAGAAAATCTATCAAGACAGAAACACACTTTCCATCTCTGGCTGATAATGGTTACAGACGATTTCCTTTTTTTTTGAGACAGTCTGACTCTGTTGCTCAGGCTGGAGTACAGTGGTGCAATCTCAGCTCACTGCAACCTCTGCCTCCTGGGTTCAAATGATTCTGCTGCCTCAAGAGAAGCTAGGATTGCAGGTAGCTGGGATTACAGGTGTACACTACCACGTCTGGCTAATCTTTGTATTTTTGGGTTTTACCATGTTAGCCAGGCTGGTCTTAAACTCCTGACCTCAAATGAGCTGCTCGCCTTGGCCTCCCAAAGTGCTGGGATTATAGGAGTGAGCCACCCCATCTGGCCCATTCTATCTTTAATAAAACTCTACATTTTCAATATGTATTTTTGTTTTCAACTTTTTTATAAAAGTTTGCTTTGTATTAATTTCAGACTTATGAAAAGTTATAAAACTAATACAAAAATTCTTATATACCCTTCATCTAGCTTCCCCAGATGTTATCATCGTAACTACAGTAGAACTCAGAAAATTAACACTGAACTTGTATTATTTAAATCAAAAATTAATAAAGAAATGGGGAAAAAGCTCCCCTGTTCATGAACTCTGTTTATTTACAAATTTGTCTGCCTGGATTTCAGGGCCCTCTGCAATCTGACCTCACCACACTGAGCCAAAGGAGGACTCTGTATGCTAGAAGAAAGAGCCAGGCTCTGGAATAGACCTGAGTTGTGTCCCGCTCTGCATACTAGTGTAGAGACAGGAGGTACTTCCATTCCCTTCCCTTTGTAATAGAGGTAATATCCACCTTTCTGCTTTAATGGGGATCCTAGTGAAGGAGGATCACTAGCCAAATTCTTCCACTCATTTGAATTCCACCTCTCGCCAGTCATTTCAGGCCACATTAAACACTCCCTTCTTAAATCCCAAATCAATTAACATTATGTCCTTAAGTAAGCCTTTTCATTAAATTCTGCCTGCCCATATCCTTCTTGGCAGTGTCAATACTAAGGAGCGCTATGAAAATTAGCTAAAAGACAAAGCAGCAAACCATTTTTTGGAGATGGAGTCTCGCTTTGTCGCCCAGGCTGGAGTGCAGTAGCATGATCTCAGCTCACCGCAACCTCCACCTCCTGGGTTCAGGCAATTCTCCTGTCTCAGCTTCCCAAGTAGCTGGAACTACAGATGCATGTCACCACATCTGGCTAATGTTTGTATTTTTTGTAGAGACAGGGCTTCATTATGTTGGCTAGGCTGGTCTCAAACTCCTGGCCTCAAGTGATCAAACTGCCTCAGCCTCCCAATTTTTTCCATCCCCAAATAGAGACAGGGATCTTGCTATGTTGCCCAGGCTCGTCTCAAGCTCCTGGCCTCAAGTGATCCTCCCACCTCAGCCTCCCAAAGTGCTGGAATTATAGGTGTGAGTCACCCTACCTGGCCACAATCCCTTACTTTCTACCTTCATGCAAAATCTCTTCCATTTGTCAACCAAATTTAAGGGCCACCTCTAACAAGCTGGAGTGGAAAAAACTGGGAGTCTAACAGATTCCAAGGAAAAAAAAGGTGGGGAGTGAAATTGTACTTACTGGGCTTAACAGACTCCAAAGGGACAAATACTTGAGCCAGAGGTGTATTCTGTGAAGACGGGGAAGGAGCCAATGGGCCAGCCTCCCAGGACCAACCTGGAGAGGACTTAGTACCTGGAGGCACTTCCTTTGGGATACTTTTCTGTGAAACATAATTCCTACAAAGAAAAAAAAAATACCAAAGACTAGCAAAAAATTGTAGCAATTTCTTGGAATTTGTGTTAGGCTTACTAAAGAACAACGAAAAATACACACACACACACAGTTAGATGTTATATGACTTTTGTCAAGCAATCAAACTCGTACCTCAGCTTCCTCATCTGTTAAGTGGGAAAAAAAGAAGTAATTTACCTCCTCGGGCTATAATAAGAATCAAATGAGATGATGTATGAAAAGCACTTAGAGGCCACGTGCAGTGGCTCATGCCTGTTAATCCCAGCACTTTGGGAGGCTGAGGCAGGTGGATCATTTGAGGTCAGGAGTTCAAGACGAGCCTGGCCAACATGGTGAAACCCTGTCTCTTTACTAATAAAGTACTAGAAAAAAGAAAAGAAAAGAAAAGAAAATTAGCTGGGTGGTTGTGGCATGCACCTGTAATCCCAGTGAGGCAAGAGAATCACTTGAACCCGGGAGGTGGAGTTTGCAGTGAGCCGAGATTGTGCCACTGCACTCTAGCCTGGGCAACGAAGCAAGACTCCATCTCAAAAAAAAAAAAAAAAGAGAGAAAAGAAAAGCACTTCAAGTGTCCACACATAATAAAAGCTCAATAAACTAGAGCCTTTGTTATAAAGGTTGTTCATGTTACACCTGTCGGGCAGTCTCTGACAACCTCAGTCAGGTTGTTTTCCATGTGTGATCACAGAGGGACATACGCCAGGCAGATGATACACAAATTACACCAGCTACCATGCATTTCATGATTTTGTCCATTTGGGACACAAACTGAAAACATTTTTGAAAACTAAAGTCATGAGAGAAGAAAAAACCCACCCTGTCCAAGTGGCTGAAAAAAAGACGACTGTAAGAACTGACCGCTGGGTGGCAAATGGGAACGAACTCCTGGCACATCCCACTCCTGCCAGAGCCTAGTGGTTTCTATCAGAAACGTGGGCATTTCAGGCTGTCTGGGTGAAGACAAACTACTTTTCCAGAGGCAAAGGGACAGGATCTATGAAAATGTTTTTACATTCACACCATAGACAACCTCTCCCTTCAGGGATCTGTACTATAAGGCACTCCCCCAAGCACCTCCAAACAGGAAATTACGTAAATGTCCACAAAAGGGAAATGATCATATACACCCATGCAATGAATTATAATGTAGCTATTAAGAAGATCAAGGCATATTTATAAAAACTGTTATGGAAATGCATCACAGTCATAATCTGATATGAAAAGGTCATGCTGGAGTGCAGTTTGTAAATTAAGATCCTGTTTGTGTAATAAGCCACAGGAATGTACCATTATATGTACAGGAAAAAAAAGCAAAGAAGGAACATTCAAGATTGTTTTTAGGGGGTGGTACTTTGCGCTTTGTTGTGTATTTCTCTATGGATCAAATTTTGCTTAACTTCACTTACATGGTTATTAGAAGGGAAAAACAAAACAAACAGCAAAGCCAGGCACAGTGGCTCAAGCCTGTAATCCCAGCACTTTGGGAGGCCGAGGCGGGTGGATCACGAGGTCAAGAGATGGAGACCATCCTGGTCAACATGGTGAAACCCCGTCTCTACTAAAAATACAAAAAATTAGCTGGGCATGGTGGCACGTGCCTGTAATCCCAGCTACTCAGGAGGCTGAGGCAGGAGAATTTCCTGAACCCAGGAGGTGGAGGTTGCAGTGAGCTGAGATCGCGCCATTGCACTCCAGCCTGGGTAACAAGAGTGAAACTCCATCTCAAAAAAAAAAAAAGAAAAAAAAAAAACAGCAAAAACCTCATGTTCTACTAGTCTCAGCCCTTAAATAACCCCCTTTTCAGATGTCTTGGCCAAAGCAGGTATTTTCCTATGACTTAGGAAAGGGAGTAAAATGAGAAAACGGAAGCAGCACATTACACTTTTTTTGAGGCCAGGCACAGTGGCTCACACCTGCAATACCAGCACTTCGGGAGGCTGAGGCGGGTGGATCACGAGGTCAGGAGATCAAGACCATCCTGGCCAACATGGTGAAACTCCACCTCTACAAAAAATATAAAAATTCACAAGGCGTGGTATCTTATGCCTGTAGTCTCAGCTACTCAGGAGGCTGAGGCAGGAGAATCACTTGAACCCACGAGGCGGAGGCTGCAGTGAACCGAGATTGTGCCACAGTGCTCGAGCCTGGGCAACAGAGCAAGACCCTGTCTCAAAAAAAGTTTTGTATTTTTTTAAGACAGCCTGGACAGCAGAAAAAAAGTTTTGTTTTTTTTCACTCTGCTGTCCAGGCTAGAATGCAGTGGCATGGTAATGGCTTACTATAACTTCTGCTTTCCAGGCTCAAGTGATCCTCCCACCTTGGCCTCCCAAGCAGCTGGGACTACAGGCATAAGCTACCACGCCTTGCTAGTTTTTGTATTTTTTGTAGAGATGGGGTTTTGCCATATCACCCAGGCTGGTCTTGAACTCCTGGGCTCAAGCAAACCACCTGCCTTGGCCTCCCAAAGTTCTGAGATCACAGCTATGATATGGCTTGCTACAAATCTTACCTTGAATTATAGCACCCATAATTCCCACATGTTGTGGACCCAGTGGGAGATAACTGAATTATGGAGCCAGTTTCCCCCATACTGTTTTCATGGTAGTGAGTAAGTCTCATGAGATCTGATGGCGTTATAAGGGGAAACTTTTTCGTTTGGCTCTCATTCTCTCTTCTCTGCCGCCACATAAGACATGCCTTTAGGCCAGGCATGGTGGCTCACGCCTGTAATCCTAGCACTTTGGGTGGCCGCGGTGGGCAGATCACAAAGTCAGGAGATCGAAACCAGCCTGGCTAACACAGTAAAACCCGTCTCTACTAAAAAAAAAATACAAAAAATTAACTGGGCGTGGTGGCATGCACCTGTAATCCCAGCAACTCAAATGGCTGAGGCACGAGAATTGCTTGAACTCAGTGGGTAGAGGTTGCAGTGAGCTGAGATCGTGCCACTGCACTCTAGCCTGGGCGACAGAGTGAGACTCAGTCTCAAAAAAAAAAAAAAAAAAGAAAGCTGTTTCTCCAGGGCAAGAGGTCTCAGCTGTCTTAGAGCACCATTCTCCGGCCCTTGTCCCATGAGAAGGAACTGCACACAGGAGCCACACTCTCCCACTCCCCTTGCCTATAAGACTCACAGAGGGCCCAGAGCTGGCTGTGGTGAGAGGAGGTCCAGCAAATTCCTGTCTGCAGAAGGGTTCTGAATGCTACCACCTGGCAGCATGCTGGCGGAGGGATTCCTCTTTTCCTCACAGCAATTCTGACCAGCAACCTGTCAAACCAGGAATGGCTAAAATAAGGCCAGGGTATGAATGACCATCAGCCACAGTAAAACCATGGCACAGTTCTCCTGAGCCCACCCAAGGTGCTGTGGCCCAGGCTGGTGACATCTCCTAGGGCAAAAGGGGAAAGAAAGGGCAATATCACATACAGCTCCTGGGCAGACCTTCAGGAAGCAGGAGCCTGGTGCAAACTGTCTCCCCCGGGGGTACCAGCCAGAGAGTATGGATAAGAAAGAAGCTTTGGACCTCCAAGGTCATGATCCCACTGGGACAGTACAGAAGCACCTCTCTGCCCACCAGGCAGTGCTGCCTCACAAGGGCAGGTTTGAGACCTTCCCCTTCTCTCTCCGGGCCCTGGGAAGGGGGTCCTTACCGTGCCTGTAACAGGAGCATCACTGATTCCTGTAAGAAAGGAGCAGAGTGAGATGTACAACAGTAACTGCACCTGCTTCAAGATAGAGCATGATACCACACCCACCGTTTCTAGGATATGCAGAAAGTCTAGACAAATAAGCAACTTACTGAAGGTCACATGACTCATCAATGGCAAATCTGTGACTAATATGCAAGGAGGACCCTCTGAACTGCCCAGAACACCTGATTCCCTTGGCAGTAGGCATGTGCTCCCTGAGGAAACCAGCTCACTCCCCTACTCACAACCAGCCCAACTTCCACAGCAGCAGGCACGTGCTCCCTGACAGCTCACTCCCCCACTACTCAGAACCACCACGATTCCCTCAGCAGCAGACACGTGCTCCCCGACAGCTCACTCCACTACTCACAACCACCCTCAGTCCCTCAGCAGCAGACATGTGCTCCCCGACAGCTCACTCCACTACTCACAACCACCCTCAGTCCCTCAGCAGCAGACATGTGCTCCCCGACAGCTCACTCCACTACTCACAACCACCCTCAGTCCCTCAGCAGCAGACACGTGCTCCCTGACAGCTCACTCCACTACTCACAACCACCCTCAGTCCCTCAGCAGCAGACACGTGCTCCCCGACAGCTCACTCCACTACTCACAACCACCCTCAGTCCCTCAGCAGCAGACACGTGCTACCCGACAGCTCACTCCACTACTCACAACCACCCTCAGCAGTAGGGATGTGCTCCTTGAGGAGACGCGCTCACTCCCCTACTCATACCCAGCCCTATTCCTTCAACAGCAGGCATGTGCTCCCCAAGGGAACCAGCTCACTCCCCTACTGACACCTATCCTGTGCCTGCCCCCACAAGCGCCTGCCCTCACCCAAGGCTGCCAGGTCCTGATGAAGCAAAGATGGCGCCACAGTCCCCGCCTGTGCAGGTCCATTGTCCACCTCCAAGTCAATCAAGGGGCAGGTCTTCATGCAGCCTGCTGGATTCTGAAAGACTAGAAAGCCCAGGGTTAGGAAGAGAAGTCAGTTAGACATGAGAGCAAAGTCTCCACCTAAATTCCATCAGCTTCCCTCAGGCCGCCTCCTCATCAAATATTAACGCCCTCCCTGCCCCTCCATGAACCTTCCACTCAGCCGACTGTCTTGATACACAAGCTCAGCTGGCATCTGGGACAAGAGGGACACAAGGCCTGCCTTCCTACCCCAGGGATCACAGGCCCTCCTGCAAAGGTCCCATCACCTGGAAGGAGAGCAGACTTGGCCTTCTCCAGCTCAGGCCATTCCAAGGCTTCTGACCACAGCTGATCAGAATCACCTATAGCGCCTGAAAGACACAGCTCTCCAGGCCCAGCTCCAAGCAGTCTTGATTCAGAAGGTCCAAATCAGGGACCTAAGCAGGGGTATTTCAACCAGTGCTCTAGGTGACTGTGATACAGCTGGCCTGGCACTAGGAACCACTGAGGAAGACGATTTCTTTTGTCTCCAGCTCCTGTATGCAACCACTTATGAGAATTCAAACCCAGGCATTGCCTAGACATCTGCTTCAGTGTGTAGTCAAAGCTGGGGTCCAGCCTGGCAGCCAGCTCGTGACGGTTCCTGTGGCTGAGCATGGTGACATGAAACCCACTTACACAGGAATGGGACCAAACAGCGAGTTCTCTTATTTCCATTCCTTAATCCAGAATATGCATAGGACCCACTTCTTTTCTGGGAATTGCAGGCTGCCCCAACGCAGAAGGCAAGGAGAGGCTTTCAAACGTACCTCTAGAGACAGGGATGTCTCCCACTGAGCTGGTCACTGTGTTTCCAAAGGTGACCCGGCCCTCCATCACCTGTTTGTACAGCAGAACTCCTTGGGTGAGGAGGTCATTTGCCTGGAGAATTTCCGCTGAAGAATGAGAGAAGAATCAGAAACCCCTGGTTTGGTGACCAACAATCTCAGTCTCGACCTTTTTTTTGAGACAGAGTCTTGCTTTGTCACCCAGGCTGGAGTGCAGTGGCACGATTTCAGCTCACTGCAACCTCCACTTCCTGGGTTCAAGCAATTCTCCTGCCTCAGCCTCCCAAGTAGCTGGGATTACAGGCACATGCCACCATGCCCAGCCAATTTTTTGTATTTTTAGTAGAGACAGGGTTTCACCATGTTAGCCAGGTTGTTGTCGATCTCTTGACCTTGTGATCTATCTGCCTTGGCCTCCCAAAGTGCTGGGATTACAGGCGTGAGCCACAATCTTAGTCCTTCCTAAGGTTTCCCATAAAACAGCCTTCATATGGCTCAACTACGTACAGTTTATCCACACCTCCTGCCCCCAGATCACGTCATCAGACCCTATCAGGCCCAGTCACTTAACCTCTGAGTCCTAATGTTAGTTCTCAATCCAAAAGAAAGCAAATCTATTCACCTTCCACATCTGTACTGTCCAGAGTAATGGCCAGGAGTAAGCACTTAAATTAAGGCCCTTTCAATAACAAACTTTTAACTTTAACTCAGAACCTGAAGCTGTTTTGTCAATGTGGATACAAATATTAAAAGGATCCCTTAGTATTTAATGCAGTTAAAGTGGTTTTTTTTTTTTTTTTTTTTAAAGACAGAATAATTGGGACTAGAGGTGCATGCCACCACAGCGAGATAACCATGGGCCTCCTGAACACTATCTACGTTCTGGACTGCCACAGCCCCTCCAACCCTCAAGCTCTTGATCCACTGGCTATAAAAAGAAATATCGGCCAGGGGTGGTAGCTCACACCTGTAATCCCAGCACTCTGGGAGGCTGAGGCGGGCAGATCACCTGAGGTCAGGAGCTCAAGACAAGCCTGGCCAACATGGTGAAACCCAATCTCTACTAAAAATACAAAAAATTAGCCGGGCACGGTGGCAGGCACCTGTAATTCCAGCTACTTGGGAGACTGAGTTGGGAGAACTGCTTGAACCCACGAGACGGAGGTTGCAGTGAGCCGAGATTGCACCATTTCACTCCAGCCTGGGCAACAACAGTGAAACTGTCTCTCAAAATAAAGAAGTATCAGAAATAGAAACATTAACAGCATCAAAGGGGATGCCATGAGCAAAACTGAGACCGACAGAACTCTCAATTCAGAGGCCTATTTTTCACGCAAGAAAAAAAGCAGTATGTGGTTGTCTGTAATCCCAGCACTTTGAGAGGCCAAGCAGGCAAATCACTTGAGCCCAGGAGTTTGGGACCAGCCTGGGCAACGTGGCAAAACTCTGTCTCTACTAAAAATACAAAAATTAGCCAGGTATGGTGGTGCACAAGTGAAGTCGCAGCTACTCAGGAGGCTGAGGCAGGAGAATTGCTTAAACCCAGGAGGTGGAGGTGCAGTGAGCCAAGATCATGCCACTGCACTCCAGCCTGGGCAGCAGAATGAGATGGTCTCCAAAAAAAAAAAAAAAAAATGACTGCAGGGGGCATGCACATGCTATCCATCATTAAGAGACTCAAGAAATATAAACCGAAGTATGGCTTTTCTTTTGAGTCTAATTTACAATTTTTTTTTAAGTTAGCAAGAGATGATTAAGGAAAAATGGTATCAGAGAAATCTGAACACTGACTGAATCTTTGATTACTGTGAAATATCTAGTGGCTGGGCCCAATGACTCACACCTGTAATCCCAGCACTTTGGGAGGGCGAGTGGGGCAGATCACTAGAGGCCAGGAGTTTGAGACCAACTTGGCCAACATGGTGAAACCCCATCTCTACAAAAATACAAAAAGCAGCCAGGCATGTTGGGGCACCTGTAACCCCAGCTACTTGGGAGGCTGAGGCAGGAGAATAGCTTGAATTGGGAGCTGGAGGTTGCACTGAGTCAAGATTGCATCACTGCACTCTAGCCTGGGCAATAGAGAAGACTCCATCTCAAAAAAAAAAAAAAAAAGAAAATGTCTAGAACTTGCTAGGGAATGGGTAGGTACAAAGAGAGGTACAGATGAAACAAGATTAAAAAAATCAACTATGAGCTGGTAATTATTAAAGATGAGTAAAGAATACATAGGATTTATTCAGCTACTCCCCCTCTCATGTTTTGATATTTTCCATAATAAAGAGTTAAAATAACTTTTTAATACTTGTGGACAATTCTCCACCATCCCTATGGATGACCCTTCCATTTCCCATTGGCCTGGCTCTCTCAGGTGACCCACCTGGCCTCTGAAGGTACCAAAAGCTGGTGATCCCTTTGAGATACCACCCCAGCTGTTTCTCTGGCCTGTGATTGGTAAGCTTTTCCTGAAGCCTCCAGTGGGACTTTTCTTTTACCTCTCACATCCCAATCTCCATGGTCAATTTCCACCCCTTTTCAGGCTTTAGACCTGCTGCTGCTTTTTTTTTTTATTATTTATTTTTAGATGGAGTTTTACACTGTCACTCAGGCTGAAGTACTGTGGAGTAATCTTGGCTCATTGCAACCTCTGCCTCCCGGGTTCAAGTGATGATTCTCTTGCCTCAGCCTCCCACATAGCTGGGATTAGAGGCACACAACACCACGCCCAGCTAATTTTTTAGTAGAGGCAGGGTTTCACCATGTCAGTCAGGCTGGTCTCAAACTCCTAAGCTCAGGTGATCCACCCACCCTGGCCTCCTAGTGCTGGGATTACAGGCATGAGCCACCATATCCAGCATTTGCTGCTGATTTCTTTTCTTTCTTTTTTTTTTTTTTATATTATTTATTTTGACACAGAGTCTTACTCTGTAGCCCAGGCTAGAGTGCAGTGGCACCTCAGCTCACCGCAACCTCTGCCTCCTGGAATCAAGCAATTCTTCTGCCTCAGCCTCCATAGCAGTTGGTATTACCGGCACCCACTACCACACCTGGCTAATTTTTGTATTTTTGATAGAGACTAAGTTTCACCATGTTGGTCCAGCTGGTCTCGAACTTCTGACCTCGTGATCTGCCTGCCTTGGCCTCCCAAAGTGCTGGGATTACAGGCATGAGCCACTGTGCCTGGCCTTCTGCTGATTTCTTACTGAAGCCTGGATCCTGCTGGACGTCAGCTATGAAGCAACTCAGGCCACACCCTCCCCAAGCCCACGCTCCACAGAACCTTTAGTCCACTCTGTCTTGCTCCTGGCCCAGCAGCATGACAGGAGGGACCGAGTCTGTCTTGCAACTGGGCTGCTAGCTATACCCAGGAAAAGAAAACTTACCAAGTGCATCATCGTCATCAGTGGTGTCACTTGCCAGCCGGAACAGGGTGGGCCTCAGCTTTTCACACCTCTCATATACAACCTGGAAGAGCAGAGCTTGGTTCATGATATACACCCAGGCATCCCACCATGCCCCACTCCAGGGCCCCAGGTGCCTCTGATCAAGCAGGCAGCAGAGTCTGGGGCTTCAGGAGGCCTCCTGTTGGCCCTGACTTCGAGACTGCAGGTTTGAAGTAACATGGCAGAGTTTCAGAAAAAGTTTGGGCTACAAGTGTATGATTTTTGAAAATAAAAGAATCTGACCAGGCACAGTGGCTCACATCAGTAATCCCAGCACACTGGAAGGCCAAGGCAGGCAGATTACCTGAGGTCAGGAATTCAAGACCAGCCTGGTCAACATGGTGAAACCCTGTCTCTACTAAAAATACAAAAATTATCTGGGAGTGCTGGCATCCACCTGTAATCCCAGCTACTCATTTTCCTGAGGCAGGAAAATCACTTAAACCTGGGAGACTGCACTCCAGCCTGGATGACAGAATGAGACTGTTAAAAACAAAACAAAACAAAACAAAACAAAACAAAACCACCCAAAACCTTATTTGCCACATTTTCCAAAGTCAGCTTTCTCCCATATACAGGTAACACATACTGTTTTCTATGGCATCTCTCCTGTTTCTTAGCTGGTTGTCATCCCAGGTGGGGAAGAATTGATGTTGTCTAAAAGCCCAACATGCGACCTTCTAGAGATACTGTGGTACAACCACTCCATGGGAGATGGGTTTTGGGATCCCTTCCTGGCGTGAGCCCAGCAATCCTTCTGAGCACTGCCCCCTCCACCCACAGAGGAAGGTCAGCAAGATCTTCATCCTAACTCTGTCCAATCCCAATCATCGCTGACTGTGCCAGAGACAGATACATGTGCCAAGCTGGCCAGGGATTTTTCTCTTTGGAATTTGGAAAGACAGTAGTTTATTTCTGCTAATTTTGTGAAGTGCAAAGACAACAAAATAAAGGAGTTGTGTGAGGGCTGGCTCTCCTTGCAGAGAAACATAAAAAGAAACATAAAAAACTGGAAGGCAGAGATGGCTGAAACAGATTTGCAGAAGGAGGTGGAGAACAGAGCTCCAAGGGAGACCAGGAGCATGGCTGCCTTGTACCTGGTACAAATAGGCTGTGGTTTCTTAGATATGACAACAAAAGCAGCAGCAAGACATTTTTAAAAAAAAAGAAGGCGGCGGCGGCGGCTAGGAGGGGTGGCAATTTGGGAGGCCAAGGCAGGCGGATCACCTGAGGTCAGGAGTTTTGAGAGCAGCCTGGCCAACATGGTGAAACCCTGTCTCTACTAAAAATACAAAAAAAATTAGCTGGGCATGGTGACAGGCACCTACAATCCCAGCTACTTGGGAGGCTGAGGCAGGAGAATCTCCTGAACCTGGGAGGGAGAGACTGCAGTGAGCCAAGATCATGCCACTGCACTCCAGCCTGGGCAACAGAGTGAGACCCTGTTTCAAAAAACAAAACAAACTTTACCGCTTCCAAACATGCTATCAAAATAGTGAAAAGACAGCCCAAAGAATGGGAGAAAACTGTTTGATAAGGAACTTGTACCAGAATATATAAAAATCACTTGTAACTCAAAAATAAAAAGACAATCCAAAAGATGGGCTACGGGTTTGCACAAACAGGCCTTCTAAGGCTGCCAATAAGCATAGGAAATAAGTAAGTCATCAAGAAACAGAAAGTTACAATGAGACAGCACTTCACACCTTCCAGGAGGGCTCCAGTCAAAAAGACAACAGCAAATGCTGGCAGGAGGCAGAGAACTAGAAATGATACATTGTGGCCGGGAATGTAAAATGGCACAGCCACTTTGGAAGACAATAAGGCAGTTCTTCAAAATGTTAAATACGGAGTTGCCCCACTATCCAGCAATTCCATTTCTAGGTAGGTACCCAAGAGAATTTAAAACTTACGTTCACACAAAATCTTGGACAAAGTTCAAAGTCATTATTCCTAATGAATAATTCAAAGGCACTATTTGTAATAGCCAAAAAGCAAGAATAACCCAAATGCCCATCAGCTGATAAATGGAGAAACAACACGTGGCACAGCCACACAATGGAACGCTGTGCAGCCATGAAAAGGAATGGAGCAGTGACGCATGCTACCAGGTAGATGCACCTGCAAACATTAGGCTACATAAAGGAAGGCAGACACGAAAGCCCACGTATTGTGTAACTGCACTTGGACGAAGCATCCAAATAGGCAAATCCAGAGAGACAGAAAGTAGGTCCGTGGTTACCAGGGACTAGGGGAAAGGGCAGTTCGGGAAAGGGGGAATGACTGTTAATGGATACAAGGTTCTTTTTAGGGGTGATTAAGATATTCTGTAACTAAGTGTGATGGTTGCTTTCATGATATGTTAATTATCTCAGTCAGAATGCTATCTAAAAACTAAGATCTCAAGATGCAGAGGAGCTCGAACTCTCATACGCTGCTGTTAGGATTATAAATGGTGCATAAGCTAGAAGATAGCTGAGCCACTTTGTTTCCTAACAAGTTAAATATACACTTAACCTATGACCTAGTAATCCCAGACATTTACCCACAAGAAATGAAAATATATGTTCACACAAAATCCTGTGCACAACTGTTTCTAGCTGCGTGATTCATAACCACCCAGAGCTGGAAACAGGCCAAGGTCCATCAATAGGTACACGCCGTGGTACATCCAGGCGACGGGCCAGTACCCAGCAATAACAAGAAACAAACTACTACTATACACAGCAACGTGAATGGCTCTCCACCGAGACTGAGAAACCAGACAAAAATAAAGAGGGTTATGTACTCCATCATTCCATTTATACAAGAGTCTGGGAGTTGTCGGCCAATCGGAACAAATCAGAACAGAGAGCAAATTAGCAACTGCCTGGGGCTGGGGAAGCAGGGGACAGAGGGAGGACAAAGCAGCATAAGGACATTTTGGGAGGCGTCAGGTATGTTTACCATCTTCACTCTGAGACGGCTTCATGGATGTATACAGGTGAAAGCATTTCAAGTCTACTTTAGTGAACAGGTGCAGCCCCCTGTGTTACACCTGAAGATTACCTGCAGGGCCTCCTGGTCAGGCGGGGCCTGCCCTGGCCTGCGGTACACGCTCAGCATCTCCTGCAGTACCTTCACATGGCTTCGCACTTCCTCCACTGCACTGACCCTCTTGGACACCTTCTCCGATTTTTCTTGCTCCTTTTGGGAAGAAGAAGAGGATGGGAGTGAGGGAGCAGAAACCCTGGCGGAAGCCTCAACAAGGGATGGGAAAGGGTCACTATTGAGAGAGCTCACTCAGGGAAACTGCAAGACGTTATTAAGCGCATGGGAGTGCTCACACAATGGGTGAAAAAAATACTCAAAAGCCCAGAATTCCTGGGGAAGAATATGCACTTTGAGGCCTGCTGACCGTGACCTCCTCCTTTGTGCCATCAGCCTCAAGCCTTCTGAAAAGGAGATTTCTAAACCTGGACTTTGTCTGTACCAATACCTGTTGCTGGGACTGAAGCTGGTGTCTAGGAAATGCTTTGAGCAGCATGGACAAAGGCAGCTGAGAAGTGTGGCAGTGGGATTTCTGCTTCTAATCACCACCTTGCTGCTCTCGAGGGAGCCTATGGCTGTTCCCCAGGGCTCAGGGCTATGTAGGAGTCACTCTTTCTCCCAGGCAACTCTTTCTCCACCCCTCAAAGATAGGTTCATACACACTGTCCTTCAGCCTCTGTAAAATGCTGCTTCTACTGAACCAACTGGAAGAATGCCCACCTCCTTGACCAAATTCTTGATCAACTGGTTTGCAGCCTGAAGGTCCTCGGGGTGGCTGCTTTTCAGAAGCCTCGTCAGAAGCTGGAGAGAGTAAAAAGGAAGAGTAGATGAGACCACAAGTCCCTCAGGCCCAGAGCAGATGCAGCAGCAATAGAAGAGTTAACACTAACAACAACGTACACATTTTACACACACTGTCTCATCGAATGGTCCCAATGACAGTATGATGCAGGCACTCTGTCCCAATATGCCCCTGGTTTTCAATGGGGTAGGGGGCTGGGGGGATTACTTCTCTCAGGGGACATCTGGCCAAGTCTGGAGAAATTTGGTTGTCACAGCTGGAGAGGGGGTGCTACTGGCAGCTGGCAGGTAGAGTCAAGAATGCTGTGTACATCCTACAGTGCACAAGACAGTCCCCAGCAACAGAGAATTCTCTGGCCCAAAAGGGCACTAGGTCTGTAGTTGCCCTGGACCACGTGCTCTAAAATTCAATAGACCCTGGTGATCTTGTTCATCCCTTCATTTCCAACGCCTAGCAGGATGCCTGGCACAGAGAAGTCACTCAATCTTCGTGAGATAGATTGCAAGAAAAGTGGGGACAATGAGGACTGGTGATACAGGATTCTCTCTCAGAAGTCACACCACACCTCCTCCCTAGCTCCTCCCACCCTCTGCACACCTAAGGCACCAAGCAGGAGGAGAGCCAGGGAGAAAGGCGGCCCAGAGCCTAGACTAGCCTTGCTCATTCCAACAACAAGGACCTGATGGCCACAGAGTTATCTAGGCTCAGGAAGTGGGTACAGAGAGAGGGTACAGTTAGCAGGCAGAGCATACCACGCAAAAATGAGTACATAGTGTGTAGCCTTCCGACGCTCCATGAACTAGACCTTGCAACTGACCAAGAATAGTCACGACCAAAAGCACTGCCAGCACTAGGCCAAAGGTTTCCCCACTCACAGGCACCAAGCGTTATCCCTGGGTCTTGGCCACCTTCCCTTCCTCTTCTTGTCCCTCTAGATACTGATGTCCAAGGGACAACGGTTTTGGGAGTTCATACAGAATGGAAATGGATAGGGTCGGGCTCCCGGGCACTGAGACAGAGCTGAACCAACACAGAGCATCCAGTCTCTCCACCGTTCCCACCCCAACACCAGACCCACACAGGACATGACCCATCACCCACACTCCCCACGGGCTATCCTTTTGCACCTTTTTTCCCCAAGGAAGGCTGTGCAGATAAGGGAGAGGACACAAAGAACCCAGCACCTTATTGGTCAACTTATCCAGGAAGAAAGCACCCAAACCTTCTGCTACCTCACTCCTAAGGGCCTGTCTGGAGAGGAGAACCCACGTAACCTGCCCCCCTCCATACTCTGATTCAAGCATCAATGGGCATTTAGTGCACAGTCCCTGAGAGAAAAGATCTCATCAGACACCACATAGGTCAGGTTCCTCACCTTGGACTTTTCTTCATCAGCATCAAAGATGGAGCTCTTGGGCCAGGGAGATGGTGGGGGTAAGATTTTATCCACTGGTAGTTTAGGGTCTTGTTTTATAATTCCTAAAAATGCAATTTACAAAGTTAAGACACTGATATGGGGAATCCAGTAACTTCAGTCAGAATCCAGCATAAAGTCCGGAAATGCCAGTTCCTGATACCATGCTAGGGAAGCACAGTCAACAGCCTTCAAAGACAACACCCAGTGTATGAATCAAGTTTTGCATTATCTCTTAGGAGAATCCAAGGGACCACCACAGGGGCTGGGACATCAGAGCCCACTACATCAGAGAAGAGCCAGTCCTGAAGGTCTGCAGTCTGTGGGCCTTATGCGATAAAAACATGGATTAGTTTATCCAGCTACATAACCACCCAGGGATCAAAAGTTTCTGAAGGGTCCCTGACAAAGCTCCTAAAAATGCTGAGTGCATGCGAAAGGAAACAACAGTACCTCCTGAACCTGGCTTCCTTCTTTTAAGAGCCCGATATAAAAAGGAATTCAGATTTCCATCTTCCAAACAGGACACACAAAGGTGGGAACTATCACTCCCACCGTGACAACAACAAAACACTGGAAAATGTGCAAATTCGCAAGATTTTTGTTGTATTTGAGACAGATTCTTGCTCTGTCTCCCAGGTAGAGTGCAGTGGTGTGATCACAGCTCACCGTAGCCTTAAACTCCTGGCTCAAGCAATCCTTCCACCTTGGCCCCCAAGTCGCTGGGACTACAGGTGGGTACCACCACACCCAGCTAATTTTTTCAAAATTGTTTTTGTAGAGATGGGATCTTGCTATGTTGCCCAGGCTGGTCTCAAACTCCTGGCCTCAAGTGATTCTCCCACCTCAGACTCCTAAAGTGCTGCGATCACAGGTGTGAGCCACCATGTCGAGCCTACAAATTCCCTGAACCCATCAGAGAGCTCAGATCATGCGGCAACAACCAAGTAACCTGAAATCTAAGGAAAAAAACAACCTTCAAGGACTGATAAGAGGCAATACCAACAGTAACTAAGCTAGAATTATTTAAAAATTGTTTATAGGCCAGTATGAGTTACCAAGAGAATACAGAATTTCTGGAGGCCACAACAAGAAGCAAATAACTCTTTTCCAGAGACTCACAAAAACAGTGGGAAGGCCTAAAGGCAGGGTTAGGGGGAGAAGAGTAAGAAACCCTGCAGCTCTGAGGGCATTGGTGGAAGCCCACTGCAGCTAGAGAAAAAAGAGGGGAGAAAAAACAAACCCTAGAACCCTTGGGAGAGGAGCAGGAATTATGTCCTGGGTCTGGATCTACACTGGAGTGAGGGCAGGGATCACAAACAGATCCTACCAAGACCCATGATGTAGTGCCTGCCTATGAACGAGGCTCAATCAGAACAGAGACTGGCCCCGCCCACCACCCCATCCCTCTGAATGACAAGGGACAGCTGTCTACTGCTACGAGAGGCAAGAATAAGGAGAAACGCCCTCTCTGAGGTGCAGAGGAAAGTGAACACTTACAGCTGAGAGAACAGATACTAAAGAAAACAAGCAAACTAGCCCCCAGCCTAAACACAGGGTAACACTAGAGCAGGCGTCCCCAAACTACGGCCCGCAGGCCACATGCGGCCCCCTGAGGCCATTTATCCGGCCCCCTGAGGCCATTTATCTGGCCCCCCGCACTTCAGGAAGGGGCACCTCTTTCATTGGTGGTGAGTGAGAGGAGCACAGTATGTGGCGGCCCTCCAACGGTCTGAGGGACAGTGAACTGGCCCCCTGTGTAAAAAGCTTGGGGACGCCTGCACTAGAGGAATCTCCAGTCTCATATGATAACTAAAGCAACAACAAATCTCACACCCAGCTCAAATCCTGCCTACAAGAAGGAAAGTTCCACCCAATTCCAGGGATGAAAAACTCCTTACTTCACCGACGGATACGCTAATTACCCTGATTTGATCACAACACATTGTATGTATGTACCAAAATATCACATTGTACTCCAATAAATGTGTACGAGTATGTGTCAAAAATAAATCCACAGCCAAGTGCAGTGGCTCACGCCTGTAATCCCGGCACTTCGGAAGGCCAAGGCAGGCAGATCATTTGAGAGGAGTTTGAGACCAGCTTGAGCAACACGGTTAAACCCCATCTCTACTAAAAATACAAAAAATTAGCCAGGCATGGTGACAAGTGCCTGTAACTCCAGCTACTCAGGAGGCTGAGGCACGAGAATCACTTGAACCCAGGAGGCAGAGGTTGCAGTGAATGGAGATCACACCACTGCACTCCAGCATGGGCAACAGAGTGAGACTCTGTCTCAAAAAAATCAATCAATCAATCAATCTACTAAATGATTATTGAAAGATCTTTTCTAACTATAAAGTATTACGTGTCTGCACATTGTTACTTTTATCACAATAGTATTTTTCAAACTCTGGTTCATATGTAGCATTATATCTGTACTTCGTAAGATTCCATTATTTCAGAAAAAGAGATTAAAGATGGGCGTGGTAGCTCACACCTAGGAGGCTGAAGTAGAAGGATCATTTGAGCCCAGGAGTTCAAGACCAGTGTGGGCAACATTGCAAGACCTTGTCTCTATAAAAAACGAAAATATTTGGTGTAAGAGATCAAGTGAGTGAGAGTGTGTGAGAGTGTGTGTGTGTGTGTGTGTGTGTGTGTGTGTTGGGGTGGAGGTGAGAGGAGAATAATAAATAAATAAATTAGCTGAGTATGGTGGCACACGCCTGTATTCCCAGCTAGGAGGCTGAGGCAGGAGAATGGCTGGAGGCCACAGGCCAAGGCTGCAGTGAGCCATGACTGTACCACTGTGCTCCAGCCTAGGTTACCGGGGCAACACCTTGTCTCAAAAAAAAAGAAAGAAAGAATAAAGAAGGCTGGGCATGGGCACAGTAGCTCACACCTGTAATCCCAAGGCAGGTGAATCACCTGAGGTCAGGAGTTTGAGACCAGCCTGGCCAGCATGGTGAAATACTATCTCTACTAAAAATACAAAAATTAGCCAGGCGTTGTGGTGGATACCTGTAATCCCAGCTACTCAAGAGGCTGAGGCAGGAGAATCGCTTGAACCCAGGAGGCAGAGGTTGCAGTCAGCCAGGATTGAACCATTGCACTCCAGCCTGGGCAATAAGAGCGAAACTCTGTCTATTAAAAAATAAAATAAAATTTTAAAAAGGTTAGTTTTTAAGCAAACAAGAATTTTAAAGATAAATAAGGGCTTTAGTGACATAGGTCACTTGTAGTTTGACTTTTCTCATGTGGTTATTTCCTGATTTCCAGGCAACAGGGAAAAGCAAACCCTACATGATCTTTCAAGGTCCGTACTGCGGCTTTTAAAGATAAGTAGATAAAAGATTTATTGTGTAAAAAATAAAAAATCAAAACTCTACCTCTACCTCAGTATGGTCTTACACAAGAAGTCCAGCTTTCAATGAAAAATTATAAGGCAGACAAAAAAGCGAGAGGATGCAGGCCCAGTCAAGAGAGACGTGACACAGTAGCACAAGTCAGACCTTGTTTCTTCAGCATCTGATAGGCGTCTCGGATCTTGACGTCTTCAGGAAACCATACTGTCCAACTAAAGAGTATTTCAATGACTCTTCCTTTAACTTTTTCTGTGGCCCAGGACCCCAGGTACTGAAATAAAAAGGAAAGAAAATTCTAGAGCTGGAAGGGATTTGGGAGACCAACACTGTAACTAAAGAGGTAGCTGTTCAGGCCCAGAGAAATGAGCTCCGAGGTGTGGTATGAGTGTGAGGAGAGACTGAGGCCACACTATCTGGTGCCCAGCCCCGGAGACCTTCTTGGGATTCAAGGAATTGATCTCCACAATATTAACACTAAACCCCACCATGAAGGGGTTGCGGTCAGAGCCTGTTCTACACCACTGGGGACAATCATTTTTTGCTGGGACAAGAATACTAAAATTTGGTCTTTGTTTCCGTTCCTGGCACAGAACTTCAAAAATCCTTGGAATTTCCTGAGTCACAGGAGTGTCTTGTTATTCAAGAGACACAATCTCAGGGAGCACCTGAGTTTTCACTAATGACTTAGTTAGTGCTTGGAGAGTTTCAAGGGCTGGCCACTCCAGAGAGGTCAACCCTGTGATCAGAGGGCAGAAACTTTCAGCCCTATCCTCTGACCCATGCCCCCACATCTCTACCCACGGAGTGTAAAAAAAACAACAATCAATTCTAAATCTTAAAAAACAAAACAAAACAAAAAAAACCAACAACAAAAAACTCAGATGAAAACACTGAAACGAGGTAGCTCAGAGAGCCTCTCAGTTGAACCTATGTTGGAAGAACCGTAGGCTCAGCGTCCAGGAGTGGGCACAGCAGCTCTGTACCCTCTTGCCCCACCAAGACTTTGCCTATGTATTGCTTCCAGTTATATCCTTTATGCTAAAACAGTGATAAAAGTACAGTGCTTTACTGTGTATGTAAATCATTCCAGGGAATAATGGAACCTGGGGCAGTCAGGGGTGGGGGGCACAGGAACCCCTGAATCTGCAGCTGGGGATGCAGAAATGCAGCAGCTTGAAGACACATGACATTCATGGCTGGCAGCTGAAACAGGGGTAGCCTAAGTAGCACTGAGCCCCCATCATGTGGGGTCCGGGTAGCAGAACTAAAATGAACTGTAGGACCCACAGTCAGTGTCAGCACTGTTGTGGGAACACAGCAAGGCAGGGTTCAATGCTGGTTACCTAACAGTGGACAAGCTAAGACAGGTGCCAGGAGGCCAGGTATGGAGGACAAGGCAGGAGGTGACAGGAAACTTCAGGCCACCCCTGGGATCTCTCACTGTCTCTACCAGGGCCCTGTGCCTCCAAGCTGGAGTTCCTCATCTCCTCTAGGCCACATGTCCCACAGGCCTTCTGAAAGGGGAAATGTGAAAATGCTAACAGCAAGGGGCAGCTGATGAGCAAAGCCTCTTCCCGGAGCTTGGAGAGGGGTGCGCTTTCACAGGCAGGAGGGGGTTTTGTCCATGAATGAGCCTGCCTCTGGCCTGAGGGGGGCGCCAGGAGTTTGATGGTGGGCACAGGTGTAGCACAGTGCGCAGAGCCAAGCCCAGGTACTCACCTTTGGGGACAACACTTTGATGAGCTCGTTCAGGAAACGGAATTTGGCCACCTCGCCGTGAAACTTCTCCCCACAGTGGTTCATGCACATCTCCAGCACCTGCAAACACAGAACCCCCATGAGAAGGTGGAAAGCCAGTGGTCCCAGGCTCCTCTCCTGACTGGTAACCACTTGCTGGTGACTGCGCTGGAACCATGGCTAACCCTGCCTCAAACCTATGAGGACACTGAGTTTTAATGAAAAGGACATTTTCAGATCAAGAAAAAAATGTCTTCTGTTCAATCTTGCTTTAATTGCCTGGGGTTTATGCCCAGGCAATAGCTTAGTAGGGTATGTCAAACCCTGAGGTCACCCCACCTCTTAAGGAGACCGTTTGGGAGATAAAAGTGGCCCAAGAACCAACTCATTCCCAGAGGCTGAAATCACGTATCCAGTGTCCAAGACCAGCCAGATGTCATACACTGGTACTCAAGAGGCAAGCTGGGCCTACAGACCCCTCCTCTGGTCCATACTGAGGCTTTCAACACTGCAAATTAGTCACCAGCATCTAAACATCAAATACATACAAAGACCTAAACTAGCACTCCTGGGCCCACACTCACACCTGCCAACGGCCAGCAGGCCCTCTGCTATAGCTGCCCTCTTCAGACAGGGCACATGAACTTGCCAGCCCTGGTTTAAAAGGGCAGATGAAAGTAAAACCTTCCTTTCCTTCTCCCACAGCAGACTCAATGCTGCCCTCAAGAAACAGATGAGAAAGATGAGAAAGAAGGATGGGGACCCTTGGCCGGAACTCCCTCCTCCAACCTGCTGTGATCGTGAACCTTTCAGGGGACCTCCCTGCCCCAGTGAAAAGGACCTGGGTGGAAGCAAAGTGCCTCTCAGCTCTCTCCAGCACCAGGACAGGAAAGCTTAGGCTACAAGGCAAGCCATACTCACCGTTAAGGCATAAAGAGCTTCCTTCTCTTGCGGAGACTGGATCTTGTGGGCCAGTAGCCATGGCGCGTGTGTGGGGCTACAGGGAAACAAAAAGACCTAGACTCTGGGCAGGCAAGAGGAAACTAAACCAAGTGGCTGGGCATGCTCAGTAAAGCCACTTTTCTCACAGGGGCTGGTGTCCCAAAGCAGAGGTGTAGTGTGCCTGATACAAAGCCCACGAGGAGGCCACTTCCCACCCACGCTGGTTGCACCTAAAGCACCCAAAGTACTCCTCCTGCCCAGGGCACACTGCCCTCCCCTCAGCCAACCCCCAGACCCCAAATTCCAAGCTGTCAGTCCCAGCCCAGGCCCACACAGAACCAGAGCAGCACAGGCCCTCTTTGTCTGTAATAAATGCCCAGGGAATGCTAGAGCAGAAAGTGTGATCAAACTCGGCTCAAACTGGCCAAATATGTGGCACCACACAGATTAAACATCTGGATGGGCTGGGCACAGTGGGTCATGCCTGTAATCCCAGCACTTTGGGAGGCCAAGGCAGGTGGATCACCTGTGGTCACGAGTTCGAGACCAGCCTGGCCAACGGGGTGAAATCCCATCTCCACTAAAAACTATAAAAATTAGCCAGGTGCGGTGGTGCATGCCTGCAATCCCAGCTACTCAGGAGGCTGAGGCAGGAGGATCACCCGGGAGGTGGAAACTGCAGTGAGCCGAGATGGCACCGATCACTCTAGTCTGGGTGACAAAGCAAGACTCTGTCTCAAACAAAAACAAAAAGAAAAGAAAAAAAAAAATCTGGATGACTCACTTGATTCTTCAGGTTCTATCCAGTTGCTTTGGAAACAGAATTCAATAAAACCTTCCCCTTTTCCTTTTTCTTAAGATTACATTTAAATGGTGGAGAATACACAGATCTCTTTTAATTAGGTAATGTGGTGACATTCTATCAGTAACATTCAGAGTTCTCTTCAGCATTAGTGTTTTATAACACTATTTAAAATTTATAACTGCCAATTGCAAATGAACTATTCTGTTTTTTTTTTTTTTTTAAAAAAACATGAACTTGATAATTTTAGAAAAATAATATTTTCAGGATTATAGAGGAAAACAAGAGAATGAATGCCAGCCTGACTGTATTTTTATGTTTTTGAGACAGGGTCTCACTCTGCCACCAAGAGTGGTCTCAAACTCCTGGGCTCAAGCAATCCTCCCGCCTTGGTCTTCCAAAGTGCTGGGATTATAAGCATGAGCCACCGAGCCTTGCCTAGAGAGCTTAACTCTAAAAGAATCTGGAGAGACAAAGTTCTACACTCTACACCCCGGAGTCAACTATGTGTGTGAGAAGTCACCTTACCCATTGGGGTCAGTGTTCACCTGCTCACAGAAATTCTGGATAGCTGACCAATCCTGTTCCGACATGCTTGGGTCTGTGGCTTTGTCTGTCAAATAAATAATAAAGTTAGAGAATGCATAAGAAGAAGAAATTTACAACCCTCCCCATATACACAGCAGCCAAGGGCTGTCTTATCACAGCTCTACAGGAGCAGACCAGTGGACAGACAGCCAAAAGGAGAGGAATTGTGCCTGCACTGCCCACCACCATCCAGCACAGTGCTGGGCACATGGTATGCCCTTACTGAGTATTTGCTGACTGAATGAACAAGCAAATTAACTAGCAAGCTGGCTGGGCACAATGGCTCATGCCTGTAATCCCAGCATTTTGGGAGGCTGAGGTGGGCAGATCATTTGAGGTCAGGAGTTTGAGACCAGCCTAACCAACATGATGAAACCCCGGCTCTACTAAAAATACAAAAAAATTAGCCAGGTGTGGTAATGCATCCCTGTAATCCCAGCTACTTGAGAGGCTGAGGCAAAAGAATCGCTTAACTTGGGAAGTGGAGGCTGCAGTGAACTGAGATTGTGCCACTGCACTCCAGCCTGGGCGACAGAGGGAGACTGTCTCCAAAAAAATTAACAAGCTATTCCCCTGAAAGCAGCTCCACTTCTAGTGCAGAGGTTGGCTTGGGTATTATCTGAGTCAGGATGCCCCCAACTGGCCTGCAACAAGCAGAGACAGAAGCTGGAATTGGAAAGGCCACCTAGAAGTGTCTCAGCTGTGTGATAGGAAGACAGGAACACACCACCAGAAGGAATACCATCCTGCCTGTTCATAAAACTTCCAGTGGCAGCCACAGTGGCTCATGCCTGTAATCCCAGCACTTTGGGAGGCCGAGGCAGGTGGACCACGAGGTCAAGAGATTGAGACCCATCCTGGCCAACATAGTGAAACCCCGTCTCTACTAAAATAAAATTAAAAAAAAATTATCTGGGCATGGTGGCGCACACCTGTAGTCCCAGCTACACGGGAAGCTGAGGCAGAACTGCTTGAACCTGGGAGGTGAAGGTTGCAGCGAGCCGAGATCGCACCACTGCACTCTAGCCTGGTGCCTGGCGATAGAGCAAGCCTCTGTCGCAAAAAAAAAAAAAAAAGTTAAGACCAGGCATGATGGCTCACGCCTATAATCCCAACACTTTTGGAGGCCAAGGCAGGTGAATCACTTGAGGTCAGGAGTTTGAGACCAGCCTTGCCAACACAGTGAAACCTCATCTCTACTAAAAATGCCAAAACTAGCTGGGCATGGTGGAGTGTTCCTGTAATCCCAGCTACTAAGGCAGCTGAGGCAGGAGAAAGACTTGAACCTAGGAGTTGGAGGTTGCAGTGAGCTGAGATGGCACCACTGCACTGAGCCTGGGAAACAGTGAGACTCCATCTCAAAAAAAAAAAAAAAAAAAAAGGCCAGCATGGTGGCTCATGACTGTAATCCAAACACTTTGAGAGGAAGGCGAAGGTGTGTGGATCACAAGGTCAGGGGTTCAAGACCGGCCTGGCTAAGATGGTGACCCCGTCTCTACTAAAAATACAAAAATTAGCCAGGTGTGGTGGTGGGTGCCTGTAATACCAGCTACTTTCGAGGCTGAGGCAGGAGAATCACTTGAACCCAGGAGGCGGACACTGCAGTGAGCCGAGATCGTACCACTGCATTCTAGCTTGGGCAACAGAGCAAGACTCCGTCTCAAAAACAAAAGAAAAAAATCAGCTGGGCATGGTAGCATGTGACTGTAGTCATAGCTACTCAGGAAGCTGAAGTGGGAGGATTGCTTAAGCTCAGGAGGCTAAGGCTGCAGTGAGCCAAGATCACGCCACTCCACTCCAGCCTGGGCTGCAGCGCAAGACCCTGTCTCAAACAAAAACAAAAGCAAGTAAATCAAACTTAAAACACAACCCTTCCATCTCCCCTCTGGCCATCCTGTCCTGGCCTGCCAAACTGGTTCTGACAGAGCAGCTCTTTTAGGCGCTGGAAATGAGGCGCTACTTCTCAGGGCCGTAATTCTGACTACTTCTGACGTTGTTCTTCTTCTGGCCCAAGTGTCCGCTCTGTGCCTCTCAGCGCCCTATCCATATTCTTCCAGACCCATCTGAATTTCCAGCTCCTGCAGAAAACTCCCTCCCACTGCACCAGCCCTACTGCTTCTCCCTCTGATTACTCAACGCTGCACAGTCAGAGCTGAACTTTTCCTGACTGCAGTCACATTTATGTCACATGGAAGTCATACGTCTCAATAGGGAGAGTCAATGGACAGATAATCACCATCTTCCTGCCTACTGACACCTTTCTAAGTGAAAAGAGAACACAAGGGTGAGGGAGGAATCAGTGATTGATTCCTATATTCTCCTCCCTGCCCCGCCCAAGCTCTTTTCCCAGGTTCCATATCTTAAAATCCTATGCACCATTGAGTCCCAATTCAAATTCCACCCTAAAGACTTCTCTGACCTCTTTAGCTCCTGTCCCCCAAAAAACAGAAGCTGTCTCTTCCTCTTCTGAACAGACATTTTATCTGCCCCTTCTCCGATAGGGATCTCCAGCTACACCCCTTACTAGTCACATGTACTTGGGACTCTCTGAGCCTCAGTTTCCTCAACTATAAAATAAAGAAAATAGGGCAAGGCACTGCAACTCATACCTATAATCCCAGCACTTTGGGAAGCCAAGGCAGGAGGATTGTTTGAGCCTAGGAGGTCAAGACCAGCCTGAGCAACCTAACAGAACCCAATCTCTATACATTTTTAAAAAAATTATCCAGGTGGCCAGACGCAGTGGCTCACGCCTATAAACCTAACACTTTGGGAGGCTGAGGTGGGTGGACTGCCTGAGCTCAGGAGTTGGAGTCCAGCCTGGGCAACACGGTGAAACCCTCTGTCTCTACTAAAATAAAAAAAAACAGCCAGGCATGGTGGCACACACCTACAATCCTAGCTACTCAGGAGGATCACTTGAGCCCAGGAGGTCAAGGCTGCAGTGAGCTATGATTGTGCCACTGCACTCCTGCCTGGAGGGACAGAATGAGACCCTGTCTCAAAAACAGTAATAAAAATAGTCAGCCGGGTTCGGTGGCTCACACCTGTAATCCCAGCACTTTGGGAGGTCTAGGCAGGTAGATCGCCTGAGGTCAGGAGTTCAAGACCAGCCTGGCCAACATGGTGAAACCCCATCTCTACTAAAAATACAAAAATTAGCTGGGCGTGGTGGGGTGGTGGTGCCTGTAACCCCAGCTACTCAGGAGGCTGAAACAGAAGAATTACTTGAACTCAGGAGGTGGAGGTCTCAGTGAGCCGAGATAGTGCCACTGTACCCAAGCCTGGGTAACAGAGTGAGACTCTGTCTCAAAAAAAAAGGTCTGGGCACAGTATCTCATGCCTGGCCTGTAACCCCAGTACTTTGGGAGGCCAAGGTAGGAGGATCGCCTGAGCCCAGGAGTGAGTGACGAGCTTGGGCAACATGGTGAGGCCCCATCTCTACAAATAAAAAAATAAAATAAGGAAAACAGTACCTTCCTCATGGGACTGTCATATGATTTAAAGGAGACGGTATCTAAAATGCTTAGTAAGCAGTCTATAAAGGATAATTGTTTATTATTAGATACAGTCTCTGGCTTTTACATTTAGACATGTCTGGTCCTACCTAAAGAGAATAAAACCTTGAGGACAGACGCCGTATCTTCCCTACAGTGCCTTACTCATAGGCACGAAACAGAAAGTCATCAAATAAATTATTTAAAGCAGTGATTCTCAGAGATTCTGTATCTGAATCACCTAAAGTCTATACCATTTAAGCTTCAGATTCAGTTCACTACAAGGTCAAGGTTAACACCTCAAAAGAATTCTGACCTCAGCATGTGATTGGACCTGAAGGGCGAGAACAGGAGAGGCGGGGAGAGGACAGGAAGCATAGCTCAAGCTCCCCTCAGAATCCAGCCCTCACTCCTCCCTGGCTAGCAACTGAGAGACACAGCACTGACAGGCACCAGCTTTTTTAAAGAAAGAAAAAACCTCTCTGAGGTTAAACAACATTCCAAATCCTTAACCAAGGCCAAGCAGAAAAACAATCTATAAAATGTAAGGAGGTTTCTTATTTGCTAGAACTTGTATCATGAGGATTCAATCAAGATTTATCATGGCTCAAAAGTAACGGTAATCATTTTCATTTTTAAAAGCACCTACTATGGGCCAGGTGCCCTCAGAACACCAGGTTGGTACAATCACCACACCATTTTACAGACGAAGAAACCTGCCCAGCCACAAAGCAACAGAACGGCAGAAACAAAAATTCAGTCACAGGCTGGCCTGGCTCCATAGCCTGGATATGTTTCTTACTAGTCTCAAGATGAGGTCTTCAGTTCCTTGACAAAGTTAGGGCTCTCTTGGAAGCCAGCTTGATCTTCTTTCTCATAAACTCCTGGAAGGCAAAAAGGAGGCCTGTCCCATTCACTCTCATGGGCTCCAGCACCTAGAAGAGTTGCCAGCAGGTACCTCCTGAATGAATGATTCCTCTTTTGCTAAGCAGTGTTTGGCCAGCTGACTGGACATACTGATAACATGGAGAGACGGCTATTTTGGTTCTGAAATAACTGGGCTCCCAAACACATAATCCCAGCCTGCACTAACTATTTCAGAGGACTAGAACAGCTCCAAAAAATGACCCTCAGAGGGCCAGCAGCTGGGTCTGAACTGGCCACAACAACCACCCCAGGTCTGTTTGATGCCAGTCTGCTCCAAGGACTAGCCAGGGGCCAGACAGAAACTCAGAGGATGCCATCTCTGTTTTGGGCTATCCCAGACTCCAAGGTGGTTTATTTAGCAGGCACTTGAGCAGGACAGAGGGGTGCCAAGAAATAGCACTGCTGCCATGTATTTCCTCATTAAAAGCAGTGTTTGTATGATTCATTTCAAGCGTGCTTCAGAGCCAGAGGTGTTAAGAAAACAGCTGAGACCTCCGGCTGTGAGTGAAATGGCTCATCCCACAACAGCTGCCTACCAACCTCCAGGGTCATGACTCTGGCACCAGCAGCCGCCTGTGCTAGCAAGGGGATCCCCAAGGCT